GCTCTGCCTAGTTCAACCATCTCATTTGGTGTTTGGTATTTAACACGTTGAATTTCATTTCCCTTACTAAGTCTCCCCACCTAGACCATGAGCTCCTGAGGACAAGGTCCGAGAACCCCAGCTCCAGCCCACACCCCCCATCCAGCTCAGCAGACTGAGCGCAGTAAATGAATGGACGCATGAACAAGGGAAGGCGAACTTCCGTGCAACAGCGTGTTCCTGCTGCCTCTCTTCCTATGGAGAGAACAGAATCTCGTGCTATCAAGCTGCTTCTACCCCGCCAGGGCAGGACATCTCAGCGCTCCCTCTCCTTCCTCTGGTGCTGAGAAGGACTGTGTTCCCACAGCCGGGGGTCTGGTCTCCGCAGACCCTGCTGCGCTCTGCTGACCTCTGGTTCCCCCGAGCCAGTAGCAGCAACTCTGATCTCATCCTGTGTAAACACCACAGCCCAGAAGGGTTCCCGTGGGATCACGGAGCTGGCATTCGCTCACCGTCTTCTATTATTGCTTAGCTGGATAAAACATTTCACTGCCCCAGGCAAGTCATAACAACAACAATGTTGTTGTTTGTTTTTTTGTTTTTTGTTTTTTTTTCTTTAGTAAGTGCTTTTAGAACTAAGGGGGTTTCTGTAGCCACTTACCAACAAAAAGCAGACCCCTTGCCACCTGGGATGCCCCCTATCCTTCCTGCATCTTCTGTGCTTTACCCTGTCCTTGGGTCCCTCAGGAGACCCCACTCCATGCAGGTACCCAGGTTCTAAGGCTGTCTTCCTCTCTTCAGGAGAATGACTGCATAGACAAGGGGACTTCAGAAAGTTCATGGAAAATGGAATTTTAAGCACAAGTTTATTCTGGGACAAGAATGCTGAAATCTATGTAGTTCTTTCATAATTCACACTTACCATGAACTTTCTGAAGACCTCACGTAAGTCCCAAGTAACTGGTGCTGAGAGAAAGGGTCTGGATCTGGAGCCATAAAATCCAGTTTGGAGCCAGGAGGCTACATGGAGGTTGGTGCAGCTAGATCCCACATGGCTGACTCTGATTCAAGTCCCAGACCCAGAGGATTGAAAAATACATCGAGTGTGTATACGTGCATGCCTGGAATCTCGAGAGGAGAATAGAGGAGAGAAGGGATTGCAGCAGGGCCATCCCCACTGGCAGGTGGCCTACCTCTGTCACCGACTATCCTTGGGCAAGTCATTCCAACTCTCTTGTCCTCAGTTTCCTCTAATGTAAACTGAGACAGGAGCAGGATACACCCCACGGATCGCTATGAGCAATCACAGTGGATAAGATAGACTTACGTTACTACAAAGTTCCACACAAACGTGGGACATCTCCCAGGAGCATGGACGGATGGCCATGTGTTCAAGGAGCAGCTGTCTTTTATACCTTACATCAGGGAATTTTAAACACCACTGACCAAGCTGAGGGGAAGGTGAGTCAGGTGACTTGCTGGTAAGAGTGCCCCAGGAGAGAAGGAAATAGAGTGTGGCAGGTCGCACCTCCTCAGGGAGCTACATCTCCACATCGCGAGCATCCTCTCTCATTGCTTTTCAACAAGCCCATCCCTGAGTTTACAGGGCCCTTCACTGGGTAGGGAGCTGAACTGAGGTTCCGCTCAGTCAGTGGGCTTGACTGGTGCCTGCCACACAGCCTGCTGGCTCTTTTGAGGGCTGCTAAAATCCCCACAGACACCTGAACCACAGTGCTCAAGCAAGAACACAAACCTCTGTCAATCTCTCAGACCATGATCCGAAGAGTGGATGTGAGTTTTGAGAGGCCATGCATAGCTAAGGGCCTTCAGTTCTTCAAAGAGGAAAAAAAATGAAATAAAAATAGCCTAGTATCTAATTTAACAGTCTTAACACAGGCTGCTCCGAGCTTCCGTTTGAGTGAACCATGACAAGGTATGCATGCACAAGGCCTCTCAAGTGGCATCGTGGTGCAGTTGTCTAAGAATATCTGCGTGAGGGCTGAGGTCTATTCCTGTAAAGTTGACAAGTTTGTGCCTTCATCATTGTGAGATTTCTTTCTGATCGCCTATAAGTCTCACTCCCTAAAACCTAATCCTTCCAAGTGGGTAAAGAATAGAACTTCTAAAGATGAGTCCAACCTAAGCCTACCACACCAGGCAGAGAGGGATCTAAGGCTCTGCTCCATCCAAAAAAAAAAAAAAAAAAAAGTCATGTTGACTGTCTCTTATGGGACTAGCTGGGATCATCTTAATTCATAATGAGAACGGCCAGTCATTCAGGGACTGGGCTGTCCATGCACAAATACTCCCCAAATTTCAAAAACATTAAGCTAGAAGAAAATTAGATCTTACATTTCAACCATAGCAAGGCTCTAATCCCACCTACCAAATTATTCTCATTTCCACCTGCCAGTTTCATATTTCTATCGACCAGTTTCAGTGACTTCAGGGAACAGTCAAGGAACAAAGAAGGATCGTCTCTATATAAAATGGCCTCTGCTAAGGCACTTCCAGCTCAGAAAAGGGATTATCCTGCCAAGATCCTATTATAGTACATAGTCCATAAATGTTTATTGAGCAATTGAGTGATTCATTGACTCATTTATTCAACAAATGCATACTGGGCACTTACTCCCGTAAGGCTCAAAGACCAGAGACAATTAAGACATGGTCCCTGATCTCTAGAAACTTAAAATCTAGAGGATGAGCATAAAAAAGCTGACTACAATATCAGGAAGAATGAAGTGAGTGCTGTGGGTGAACTGCAAGTAAATGGCCATGGGAGCGCAGAGCGGGCAGCGGCTACCCAGCATCGGGGAAACACTGGAGACTGTGTTGGGAAATGAAGTGACTGGATGGGGATCTGGGGACCAGCTGGTTAATGGTGAGATGCAGGTCCCCAGACACGCTCTGCAAAATGGCCTCCTCGTGGCCCAGTTCACGGCTGCAACTGCCCTGCCCGCCATAGGCCCTCGCTGTAAGAGCTCTGTGATGGGCTTTGCCCTCAGCAGAGCTGGGCCCAAGGATCAGGTGCCAGCTCCTGTCCACATTCTCAGCTCTCCTCTCTCCATTGAATTCAGGTCAAGCATTGATTTTTCTGCATGGTCAACATGTCACATCACTTTGCAAAGCATGAATCTGTGGGGCTCAGCCAATAACCCCCAAGGGATCTGAAGCAGGGGGGCTCAGCCTTCAGGAAAACTGGTTCAGTTCTGAGCCTTGCCGTGACTAATCTTTTTCGCCTTTTATGAGATGGAGAACTTGTCAATGTGGGGGTTTCTTTTGCTCTGCCTAGGAACTAGAACAGAGAGAGGAGCAGGTAGGGCAAAAGATAAAGGAATGAGATACATGGTGTCATCAAGAATTTTGTCAAGAGACATAGCTGTGCCTGGCAGTGACGTTTTTCCTGTTGTACAAATCAAACACCTATGACTTTAACACTACCAAATCCCAGAGAGACCCTGTGATTTTTCATAATTAGAATATCTGGGATTTGTTTGTTTTAAGGTTCCCAAAATGTTCCTCTTATCTAATGGTAAAGTGGAGCTTTTGGAAGATGGGATCTGATCAGTACTGGGGTTGCTCTGGGGCAGGGGACCATGGCAGCGGCCTGGGACAGAGTGAACAGAGCAGCCACAAGGTCCCATCTCATGGCAGAGGAGGAGCTGGGCCTGCAGCGGGAGACTTAGAACTGAGTCCTGGCTCTCTACTATACAGAAAGCCTTAGCTATATCCCTTCGTCTCAGGGAATCTCAGTTTTCTCATCTTTACAATAGGAGTATTAACATCTATTCCGACAAAATGTCTGTAGACAGACACCCATAAATCGTTGTCCAGGAAACAGAAATCAGTGCAAGAATGCTGAAGGTTCGGTGGATTTGCAGGCCAGAGACCACAAATCTATAATGGGATCAGCACACATTACGAAACTCGCTTTTTTTCCTTAGTTCTTTATTTTTTAATCAAATATTCCTCATCTCTTGACTCCCTAAATGACCAATTGTAATATATTTGGTCGTCAAAAAAGTCATGATGTATTTTTCTGTTTTTCTGTGCAAACATGCATCATGACTTTTCTAATGACCCAATAATTTTAACTATTTCCTGGTGCCACATAAGCTCTGTGTTAATGTCTTCATAGGTCTCATCTCAGACAATCCTCACGCAGTCCTGTGATATAGCAATCTCACAGATAAAGAAAGAAAGAATCAGAAAGAAGAGAAATTTCCCAGTCTTATAGTCAGAAGCCAGGGCAGGATTTGAACCCAAAGTTCAGCTTTCCTCAGGGCTAGCGTTGGTTCTGAAGATAAGGACAAGCTGATGGCTAATTCTGAACTCGTGTGGCTTTCCTGTGCCCTATGGGACAGAATCCTGAAGTTCTCCTTTCCTTCCTTCCTCACCTGCTAGAGTGGGAGTGGAGAAAAATGCAAGCTTCAGGCTTATAGGGTCTAGTCTTTTCACTGATGTGGATGCCAGGCCCAGTGTTACCTTGGTCAAAGGTAAGAGCCGTAATGATTCCGGTAGCCGCATGTGTGGAACAGCTGCACCCATGCTTGGTATGTAACCCTCACCTCCTGCAACTAACCTGTTTGTCCTGCAGTAAAACTTCTCCCCATTTTCCAAATGGGTGAATGGATCAATAGAGATCGAAACTGCAGGCTCTGAGTTTTCACTCTAAAGTGACCCAGCTCCTCTCATTTTGGGGTCATTCTCTCAAGACTCAGAGCCCACCGAGTGGGTAAGTGCTGACTATGCAGCCCAGCAGTGCCAAGTGCCACTCACCAGGAAGTGAGCCTGTCCCCGCAACACACCCAGGGCAGCCTGCATCTGTCTCTGCCAAGGGTTGCGTGGAATCTGGATCCCTCCTCTCGGTGCAGTTATGGAGGTGTGAGAGAAGGACAGGAATGAAAGAGCAGGAAAGGTGATTGGTTTTCTTTCACTAAGGTTGGGGAGGAAGGAATCCTGCAGACCTGGAGGCCCCACAAAGTGCTTTCATGCCTGAGAAGCATCTTTTCCCACAGGAAGTCCTTTACTCACAGGAGACCTGCTCTGTGGCGGATTCCTGAGATTCCACTGGCTTTGTTGTGATGCCTCATCCTGCTGACCTCTCAGCCCAGAAGCCCCAAGGCTCACCACTCACCAAAGGAGCCCCGTCTCAGGCACCACCTCAAAGCCAGCTCTACGGGGATGCTTACGTGGGCTCAGTCCTCCAGGTGGGCAAACAGTTTAGGAAATACTGGGAAGAGGGAGGGATGCAGGGAGTAAGGGTGAGAGAGAAGAGGGTCAGAGAGGGAAGTGAGGAGACAGGGAGGTCAGGAGGTCAGGCAACAAAGACAGAAGTCATATGGAGTTGTCTAGTCTATCTGTCCAGACAGGTCCAGAGTCAAGGCCTCTCCCATGTTCTCTGGGGTCCAAGCTAGACCTCAGAATGAGCAGGCTCAGTTTTGAAGTGGAAACTAGAGGCAATTCCAGAAAAGAAAGACTTTAATCTGGTCAGATATGAAACTAGTAGGCTTGGATCAAAGCACTCGGTTCAGACAGAACAGGACAAGAGGCTCAAGGGAGGTTGAAAATGTGGGGCTTGGGGTATCCATACTCAGGAAGCTGGATGTGAGGAGTGGAGGCCAAGACAGAAATATTCCCATCCCTGTTGTACAAATAGAACATTCTACGACTTAATACTACAAAATCCCAGAGAGACCCTGTGATTTTTCATAATTATAATGTCTGGGATTTGTTTGCTTTTAAGGCTCCCAAAATGTCCCTTTGAGTCTAATGGCAAAGTAGAGCCTTCAGAAGATGGTGTCTGAGAACTCTTCCTGGGGAACTTGCGGCTGGGCAGTGTTGTGCCTCCCAGGTTTTCCGATAACCTCTCCTGCTCCAACCCACCTCTCTCCTTAGAATGCCCCCCTCCAGGGGCCAGCCCCAAAGCCGAGCCTTGAGTGGGCCCTAATTCCTTCCTCCCTTTCATCCTTTGAGCAGAAAGAGGATCCTCTGGGCCAGACCCCACCACGAACTGTCAGACCCTCGGAGCTGGCGTGTGAGTCAACCCTGAGTCCAAGCTGTAGCCTCCCCCGAGGAGACACCCAGAGCCCTGCTAATGCGGCCCCTCCACCAGCAACAGTGGAACCGATCGAGCTGTGTCCCTCACCATGCTTGAATGGATGCAAAATAAGTTCCTGAAGTGACAGGAACACAAACAAAAACCAACCTCAGAGCACCAGAAGCTAGTTATTTAAATCAAAACAAACAATTCTTGTTTACTGCCCTCAGAATGAGGCCTAGTCTTGAGGAAAATGGTGAGGGCTGTCAGGTTCATCCCCTCCCACTGACCTCAGCACAGAGACACACCCTTGGAAGCCCTCACCTTCTACCCCCAGGCTGGGGAGGCTCCAGAACCCACACACTGCTCTAACTGCCCCATGGCCTCCACCTCATGCAGTCCCCAGGACTAGACTTCCAAACCCAGAACAACTCCCATCACAATGAACCTGTGTCTTTAAACACCCAACTTTGTCTTGCAGAAGAACATTATCCAACTGAGCTCATAATGCATGCCATTCATTCTAACAAGCACTTTACAAATGTTATATACCAATCTGTGCAACAACCTGAAGCTCAGAGAGGTTAAATAAGAACCTAGAGTTCCACAGCAAAAAGTAACAGTGCAACATCTCAGAGCCTTTTCACACTAAACTTCTCCAAGTTTTAGCTTTTCTAAAGCCTGCACTAAGTTTAATGGGGCAGGGCTTTATTTAATTTTGTATGTGCAAGAGCTGGCCTGGCGCTCGGTAGATAATGGGTACAAAATCAAAGTTTGATGAAGACTGGAATAAATAAATGAACAGGAGAAAATGGGTGTGTTGGAATGAACTTTATGATCATAAATTATTCATCTTCTCAGATAACATCCTGCGTATCTGTATTTTAAAGACAATTCTGAAGCCACTGTCCCATGTTAGTTTGTGCCTTGTGTACTAGTTCTAGAAAAACCGAAACTTGCTCAGATGAAAATATCAGGAATTAAAGGAGCCTCATGACGATTTCTTGTGAGGAATAGTTGTTGGGACCACCAGCGAATAGGATAGTCTGTTCAGTATTGGAAAGCTGCGTAGCAGCACATGCAAGAGGAAGCGGGCTTTGTCTGTGTTGTTCCAGGTCATTAGACCAGGATCAGGAGCTGGATGGTGATCAGCAGCAAAATGTGATGTTCTACAAGGCTAATGATGTGGCAAGGTTCTGGGTTCACGACTGGAGACCTCCCTGACCTCTCTAGGCATGCATACACCCTTCATTCATGCCCCTGGGTCTGGAAGTGGACTGTCATATCAAGACTCTTTTAAAAGTACTGTCTTTCTGTCTCTCTCATGGGATAAATAAATAAGCAAACTTAAAAAAAAAAGAAGACAGAGGGGACCAGCAGGTGGCATGGTGGTTAAGGGCTGGACATTCCTACATGGCCCACCATGGTCTGAGCCCGGGACCAGACAGCTTGCTTTCTGACTTTCTCTCTGTCTCTCTCTGTCTCTTTCTGGTCAAATTAAAAAAGAAATAAATGAATAAATAAAATTAAATAAATAATTCTTTAAAAAAAAAAAAGAAGACAGAATCAAAAAGTGAAACTATGGTGAAGCTGATTATCAACATATCCTACTCCATGCAGTCATTCAACAAACACATTCTGAGCAACTCTTAAAATTGAGATAACAATTGAAAGCAGCTAAAGAAGAAATCTTATGTAAATTGTAATACATTTTTAAGAAAAAGATTACAAGACTTGTCCTGTAACCTTAGTGGTTAAGGTCGAGTATGCATGCATACCCAAAATCCCAACAAAACAGAGAGAGGGAGGAGACGCAATTGCTGCATGATCACACCTGATCGTGGGGATCCTTTCTTCCTCTGCCTCTCTCTGTTTCTCTGAGAGCCTTGAAAAAGGTCTTTATGAATTAGGGCTGACACCTAGGCTTTATCACCTTCATGGTCAATCTACTTCTTCCCTGTTCAGCCCCTCTGCCATCAGTAATCTTTTTTCTAAATTTTAGCATTTATGCTTCCATCAATAAATAAGCAAATACATGTAAATATTGATCTCCCCTCTTTTCTACATAAAAGGTAAATGCTATACATTTTTTTTTCTCAACTCGAGTCAAGATAACCTGGAGATAACTGCATAGCAGGACATAAAATTGTTCAAAATTCCTGCTAACGGCTGTAAAATACTCCATAAGGTGGATATATCAGGATTTGTTAAGTCCCTGTTGGTGCACATTTGATTTGTTTCCAATTGTTTACTCTCTAAAGAGTGATTCAGGGACCAGCAGATGGCGTAATGGTTATGCCACTGGACTTGCACATAGCCAACCATGGTTCAAGTCCTGAACCCAGTGGCTTAAACAACTCATGCCAGGCATGTGTGTGTGCATGGCCAAGATCCCGAGAGGAGAGTAGAGGAGAAAGGACTGTGATATGGCCATTCCCCCCGGGAGGTGTTTTCTTACTTTCTGTCTCACTTTCTGTCTCTCTATCTCTCCAGCAAGTGCACGCACCCTATAGCAAAAAAACTCTCAAAAAAAAAAAAAAAGAAAGAAAGAAAGAAAGAAAGAAAGAAAGAAAGAAAGAAAGAGTGATTCAGTAAGTGGCCTTGATCATCATCTTTTTAAATTCTTCCCAATATATCGTTGGAATTGATTACTAGATGTGGAATTGCTGGGTCCAAAGGTCAATACAAATGTAATTTTGCTAGGTATTGCCAAACTCCTGCCCTAGGGCTACGGTACAGGTCTGTCTCAACGCCAGCCACTCCTCCCATTGGCTCGGCTTTGTGCACTACCCAAAATGTGGCCCCACAACCACCCAGAGTGGCCAGTGTCTAGAGACAACTTTGAGACAAGGGGACATCACAGAAACACGTGATGGCAGGGAGGGAAAGGCCCAAAGTGGAGATACCCCGGGTAAAAGAATTTCTAAACTACCACTGCCCATGGCAGCCTGGAGTCAGTAGAATGCTATGGCATATTTCCAAAGGGAATATTAATAATGCAGAAGGTGAGCTGTAACAGGGGAACAGGGAAGGCAGGCAGCTGTGCCAGAAGTGTCACAGCATCCCCGGCCCCCAGAGTTGGGGAAAGGGCGCCCAGGGCTGGAAGAAAAGGGCCTCGAGTCCTTCATGAAGATCCTGTTCATCTCTGACAGCCGTTATGTTGATACTCAAAAATAAAGTTAGTAAATTGGACAGC